TATGGACTTTGTGTTTGGCCTGCCAAAGGACTCGGCGGGCAACACGGGTGTGGTGGTCTTTGCGGACCGATTGAGCAAGATGGCTCGTCTCGTGGCAGCTCCGGACACTATCGACGGTGCGGGTGCAGCGACGCTGCTTGTGGATTGCGTCTTTCGACAACATAAACTTTCGGAGTCGATTGACTCAGATAGATACCCACGCTCCACTGGGAAGTTCTGGTCTACAATCTTCAGAATGCTAGGCACCGAGTTGACTATGTAAACAGCGGACCAGCCGCAGAGCGATGATCAAAGTGAGCGCGTGAATCGTGTCGTTGAAGGCGTTCTTCGCAGCGTCTGTGCTGAGACACCGAAGTGCTGGAGCGCCATGCTGTTACTCGTGGAGAGTCTACTTTGAACAATGCAATGCATTCATCTACCAGCTACAAACCGTGCTACGTGAACAGACTTGTTAATACACGCGTCCCGCTGACGCCGCCATCCCATGGCTCGGAGCTTGGCGGGGGAGGAATAGCCGAACGGCTAGCTGATGTCAGCACCCCCACTATTTGTAATGAAGTCAATGACTTCTTGTCTACCACACTGAGTGTCCTACGACACGCTCGCGATGCAATGGCTGAAAGCCAAGATATGTAAAAAGAATATAAAGACGGAAGGAGCAGAAGAAACGTGGAAAACGCTGGGGTCGGAGACCCGGTTTGATGAAATGCTAAAACCTTCCTACAAATGCAGTCTCTGCTGTCTTTAAGACAAAGCTCCATCTACATTTTATTGAAATTTTTCAGGTCGTGGCCAAGCAAAGCCTTGCTTATACGCTAAACTTCTGAGAAGGATGATATCCCACCCAGTGATTTATGTGGGCTTGCTCAAGCCGAACCGGGGTCTGGCGCAAGTGAACGCTGAGGCGTTGGCGCCGGGTCGGTGCCCAAAGGCGCTCGGCTACCCAGAAGCTAAAGCAGCAACTGGCAATAATTTCCGTTTCCAACGGCGCAAGGCGCTCCACCGTCGCACGAAGTGACGTAATCGCCTGCTCGACGGCTAGAAGCCGCTTCGACAGAGCGCGATAATTCTCAACGTGATGCAGTCGGTGCGCAAAGTACTCCAGGCTCTTGCGATCTTTCGCACAGCGGTAGGCGACCTCGGCAAGATGCTTGGTGGAGTGCCTATGACGACGGACTTTGTCCTCCAAAGCTCGAAAAGCATCGCGTGTCACCGCACGACGATCGACCAAGTCG